TACAGAATTATATGCTCGCCAAAAATCATTGATATGCTCAAGTAGATGAACTAATAAATTAAAAGCATCCAGATAGTTATACAGGGACATAGATGAGCGAATGAAAAGATAGCTAAACTCAAGGCTGTTTTCAGTGTAGGCAAATATTCAATTCATGAAAAAGAAAGTCACAAAAGACAAGAAAATTTACAAGCGGAAACGTGAACGTAGACAGCGCATTTAATATTTTTTAAAACTTTGTTACTCTGGCGTTTGTAGTTAGCTCGGATCTGAATTAGATGCCCATTTAAGTTGGTCGTATAGCTTACGAGAGAACTCACATCATATACGATGAGAAAGACAAATTCCAGGCAAAGAAATCAAAGACAGCTAATAGGACATTGACGACAGGCGTCGTAAGTAATCAGCTGCGTCAGCACATCCAAGAAAAATCTCACTCCTTCATTTTGTATCCAGGTCCTTTGACCCTCCAGTTCGAAATGAATGCAGGAACAACGTTAGGTGTAAAGCTTCAGATACACCATCAGCGAATGGAAAGGCAAGAAAGGAGAACAATTTGCTTTCTCTAGACAACTGAAAGCTCCGATTTTCAAAGTATAAATAGTTTAATGGTACAAGAATGCTATTTAATCCTATGTAGAATATAAGCTTATAGTTTCTGTGTATGCTGATAAATTATCAAGTTTATCAATTAGGATGATGAACGAACATCAATTTTCCTTCATATAACATCTACATTTAATCATGATTCGTTAGGAGAAGGTTTCGCCATAGAAAAAGAATGAAAATGTTCAAGATTCCGATCTTTGGAGATGTTGGAAAACTGTATATAGATAAATGATGGTAATAGTATGAGCTGGAATAGAAGTATTCACATTGAGGGGCGTCTTGCAAAAGAATAAATAGGGAAATTGAGATAAACAGAAGTGGGGTAACTCCACAAGGGTACGCCCAAATAAATTGGCAAATATTCTCGCTCTTTTAAATCATAGCAAAAAGATAAATCAAAGAATGGGCGGCCAACTAGAGTGGATGAGCTGCTTAATAAATCATTAGAGGTTAACAAAAAATCTCGTTTTAGTTCGATGCCTGAAGAACGACTTGTAGAAGCAAATATATGGAAGGCGGTGTTAGAAGGGAAAAAGATTGAGCCCAGGAAAAAGTAGCGTGCCTAATTTATTTAGGCCAAATTATGGGCGTGAGGATGAAATAAAAATATAAACGGCAGGAGCGAAGGGAAAGAGGAATGGAGTTCAAGAGTTGAGCAGCAATTTCTTCTAAGTAGGGGATCTGGGAGCCAAGAGGTTAAGACTCAGTTTGTCCTACAAGACTATCAGGGCATGATCGAAGGTCAGCTAAGATAGAAGAAAAGTCCGATAGGCGCTGGTAGTCTTCATCCTCATCCTCCTCCGCTGTAACAGCAGCCACGGCTGCGGCAAGCAGCAATCTAGAAGACTTTTTACCATCAGAAGTCCTGCCTCGAGAACTGTTTGTGACAACAATGGGAGTTCCTTCCGTGCGGTCAACGTTCGGTTCTTCGTCCTCATTTTCCACATTCTCTAATTCATCTCCTTGCTCTTCTTCCTGTTGACTTTCCTGAAAATTCAATTTTTCCATCCTGTCTGATTCCTCTGGTCCCTTTCTCGGCTGTTTTAAGTTCGTCGGACTTATCGAATCTCGCTTCTCATAGTCCTGCTCTCCAAGTACACCAAGGCTCGGGTCTAAGGCGTTTTGTCCTAAGCTGGTTCTACGAGGTCGCGCAACCTGCTTGCCACTGCCTGTGCCGACTTGGCCATGAGGTTCACCCAGTCCTGGTCGGATGTCTTGGCCTTGTGCTTTGGGGCCAGCTCTGTGTTTGCGCCCCTCGTGGCCGCCTCCAGTTCGGTCGGCTGGTTCGATGCTTTTCCCTGAGATTCGGAGTTTGCCGGTGGGTTGAACATAGGCCCGATTCTCGCCATACAGCGAAAGGCTGGCAAGCAGGCCGTGCGACAAACCGTCTTCATAGTCATCGCCGCCGTCTTCAGAAGAAATCCCATCCCCATGATCTGCAAGAACCTGAGAGTAGTTTATAAAAGGTTCCAATGTACCTTACCATAATTATTCCAATATAAATTAGGTACTTATCGCAAATTCGGGTCTATTAGCAGCATTCACATAAACAAAAAACGTTAAAACGACTAACTACCATCTGGCTTAGCCATATGTATCAAATCTCACCTATAAACTAATATCTAGACAATGCTTTTTTCCAAGTAACCTTTAGATTGATTTCCTCATCGTAATATCCTGTCAATGGCTCATAATCAAAGGACTTTTATTGATAAATCACCCAAGCTACATAGTCGATTCAATTTATTAAAAACGAGGCTATTTGTGCTAGCTTAAACTTAAGAGCTAATCAATTATAGAGGCCTTTTTACGTAAAATAAGTATTCATTGTAGAGTATTATAAATCATTTGCTAAGAGCAAAAACTTTTATAAATGCACTTAATTTTTAAAAAATTGCTGTCTTTTTGATCCTCTCCATAGAGAGGAGTAAAGGCAAAAAAATGATTAATTGCTGATAAAAAGGCAAAATCTCTCAGTTGATTGATGCTGGTTGTAAGAGATTCATGATTTTGCTATAGCGTAAAGATTCAAGAGATTGTTTAACCATGTTTACGGGCTGGTCATGTTTAAAGAGGAGAAGAGAGAGAAAAGAAGAATACCCCTTAATATACTCCATTTTGAGTGAAAGTGTGTGGTGAAGAAATTCGGGGTTGATTCCACCAGAAGCGACAGCGGATTCCTCAAATCTCTCCACTAGACAGTTAAAACCTAAATGGAAATGCACTTACGATTATAAACCATGAGATCTCTCGAAACACAACCTTTCTTCGTATATACTAGTCATGTAAAGCCCTAGCATCAAAAAGTTGTTCAGAAAAATTTAAATGCATGTGGCCCTCAGCGTAGTAAGCATAATCAAGAAAAATGACAAGCAAATGTCTGTTATATGAGGAAAATCTTGTTTTCGAAAAATTCCTTGGTAATATATTGTGACATGACTCTGAATTTTGAAGGGAAAGATGGTGGGAAGGAATTTGTGATGTGAGCTCACCTGAAACCGAAAAAGGATTGCGCAAAGGGAAGATTGTTGCATTATGTGAAGAAGTCTTCAGCCCACCGTCCTACGACCCCGATGAAACTGAGCTAAGCTCTCGTCCGTACTGTGGCAGACATCATCAGAGGAAGAATACATACTTTACAAACTAGAGCAAAAATATAGTAAACAAAGAGAAAAGGTGGTCGGCTGCAACCATAGGGGTTTTTTATATACCTAACTTTGATATCCTAATCTAAGCTCGCTGAACACATGGCCAATAAAAGACACTTAATAGACTGGTCCAAAACACAACGGTTTGCGGGTTACGGGGACTTCACATCAAAGCGAGTCTAAAGAAATGAGCAAAATAACCAACATCCTGAATAGGAATAACGAGTATAGAAAACTGAATATGAACTATTTGGGGAGGTTGGATAGACTTAAGGAAAGGGAGGGAGAGGGAGTGCAGGAAGAGTCACTGAGCAAAAGGAGACTGGATTAGCTTCGAGTCTAGCTAGGACTTTCACACTTCCCACGACATACACACAATAGACAATAGCACAAGATCAAACATAAATCAACATTATAGGATCATACACTAGTTTAGTTAGGCAAGGAAACAGCTGCCAACTTCTGGTTCGTGAAGTAGCTTAACTCATCTGCAAGCATATAGAGTAAGGGTGAGATAGCCAACAAAATCATGGGATGCCTCATTAAGATCGCGAAGTTAGGTGTATAAAAAAGCGACTAGGTTTGCTACCGGCCACCTTTTCTCTTTGTTTAATATATTTTTGCTCTAGTTCGTAATATATAGATTCTGGCTTTGATTATGTTTGTCATAGTACAT